TTTTTTCCCCCAAAAACACACAAAAAAAAAGGGGGGGGGGGGGGGGGGGGGCTACTAACTTTTTTTCTTAAACACAAAATAAATAGATACTACAACAATAACAATAAAAAAATTAAAGAAAAAATGATAAAAAAAACTATGAAAACAACACCTACTTCACTAATTAAGAGAACTGAATGCTTGCAAAATACGAAAAACAGGTAAAAGACAAAAAAAAGTGGGGATGAATTTGAAACAATACGTTGGCTTGTGGGAACTGAGGAAGTGAGGGGCCTGCCAGCAGGGGGTTGTCTCTTAGTTTCTGTGTTTGATTCTCTCTTATTATCATCACAAACAAGAAGAGTGGATTCTGCACTCACAAAAGCAACTTCATCATTTAAAAGCTCCAAAATAAAAAGAGAAAACAAAACAAATTCCATTGAAGCAAAAGAGAGAGACCTAACGATGAAAGGGACCTGCCCTTGTGCTCCAACTGAAGAAGCTCTTTGCTTCTCTCTGCCATTTGGGTCAGGGACTGAGAAAGAAGAACATACATAGGTTTAGTCATGACACATAATAGTATTTCAAAGTTTTCATCACAATAACCAACATAGATTGAGTTTAACTTCTATACATTATCAATGTAAAAATGTATATCAACTAATTAGTAATCGTTCTGTGCATGAATTTTAAATGAATATCACAAAAATTAACAGTTTTCGATTATATGGCTGTTAGGATATAGTTACCTATCGAATTCTTTGTAATCAAGAAATACGATCTTTCTTTTCTTTCTTCTATTTTTTTTTCTTCTAATTTTGGTTCCTAACAATGAAAATGTATGATTAAACGAAGGTAAAAAAGGTGTATTCTAATTAAATTCACATGGATTGCACTCTATAAAGCCTGATTTCTTTGTCTATCTATATATATATATATGAAGAGAAATAATAAGAAACTGGAGATTGAAGGGTGAAGGTAGGATATGAAAGTGGAAGACGAGAAAGTGAAGTGACTGAGTCTGAATTGATGTACCGAGGATAAAAACAATATAAAAAATTTGAACCAACTCAACTTTTAATATTTCATTTTTTATAGAAATCGGATCCAATTTAAATTGATTAATATTAGACATATACTATTTACGCTCCCTCTTTTTACTAATACACTTTTCATTTCTTTTAAATTTAATTTATCTAAATAATCTTTTATTATATATATATTTTTTGAAAGAAAATCTTTGCACAAATATAATCCATGATCTCCAAGAACACAATATAATCCCCAAGTGTACTACATCGGTTTCTTTTATTAAAATTCTAGAAGGGACATATTTATTGATATGAATTTAGTAAAATGAGGAGAGTAAAATAACAAAAGTCTTTAAAGTGATTAATTAATTTAAATTTAAATATTTCCTAAACTCAAAACAAATCAAGTTCACTCATGCCCATTTTTACAAGAAATAGAAATCAACATCATATAAATTATAATTAAAATTTATTATAAATAAATATTTTTTTAATTAACATATATATACTTTGTCTCATTTTCTTACAAAATGTCACCCATCAATTTTCAAGGAAAGTATCCTCAAGTCATCTTAACAATTAAATTTAATGAGAAACTTCCTATTCCTAAGGCAATTATACAATTTGTCACTGCCTAACTTGTACGTATAGGTGGTAATGGTCACACCTGGACCCTCACTTATTGATATTGTGGTTCCATGTGTGATCTTTTCTTACATTCATTTTAAAAGTTGAAATTTTTACATGTAAAATCTTTTGGTCCACTTTGTATTGCTCCCCCTCAACTTTGAATAGTGTAAAACACCCCGAATTTTTTTACTAATACTACGAATAATTATTATTTATTTTTGTATTTATAAAAATTATTTTCTTATAATTATTTTGATTAATTAAATGTGTTTGATTGAATTTTTAAAAGTTTTTAATAATAATCATTTATGAAAATTATTTTGTATAATATTATTAATTATGATATTTTGTTATAATTATTATTT